CCGCCCTGCCCGCTGCGGCCCCCCCCGCCCCGGCCCGGCCCGCCCTCCCCCGCCTCCTGCCCCAGCGCAGCCGCGGTGGCCGGCGCTCAGCCGAGCCCTGCCCGGTGCCCCCTGCCCGGTGCCCCCAGCCCGGCCGGGTGCGGGCAACCCTGGAAGGGGCCCCGCTGCCCCGGTGCCCCCCGCCGGACACCTGCTCCCGTCTCTGCAGATCTTCGCCCTGATCGTCTTCGCCTGCTTGGTCGGGGAGGGCTACACCAACCTGCCCAGCTCCCCCCAGCTCTTTTGCATCTTCAACCACAACGAGGACGCCTGCCGCTACGGCATTGGCATCGGCGTCCTCGCCTTCCTCGCCTGCATCTTCTTCTTCATGGTGGACGTCTACTTCCCCCAGATCAGCAACACCACCGACCGCAAGTACCTCGTCCTGGCAGACCTCGGCTTCTCAGGTACCGGTGGCCGCGGGGCAGGGCTGTGCCTTCCGCGTCTGCTACAATGGCTGCCCTTGTCCCATGACGTGGCTGCCGGTGCCTGGCGAAGGGAGTCGCTCCCACCTGGCACGCTGCCCGCGGGCCACGCGCTGCCTGCTGAAAGTGCTCCAAGGAGCCGTGGGGAGCAGCATGCGGGCAGCTGCACCGGGCCGGGCGCCTGCACTGGCCTCCGGCCCTGTCCCGATGGCAGCAGCCTGGTGAGAGCAGGGTCTGGCCTGGGGACCTGCCTGGGAGCAGTGGGACACAGCCCCGGCCCCTCACGCCGCCTTCCTTCCGCAGGTCTCTGGACGTTCCTGTGGTTCATTGGCTTTTGTTTCTTGACCAACCAGTGGGCCTGGACGCGGGCTGAGGATGTGCCGGTTGGGGCTGACTCGGCCCGTGCCGCCATCACCTTCAGCTTCTTCTCCATCTTCTCTTGGGTGAGTGAAGCCATGGCGGAGCCCGGCCCTGCCCTGCTCGGGAGGGAGCGTGGAGGGGCTCTCCGGGCCACGCAGCCCTGACACCCCCGGCCCTCTCGTCTCTCTAGGGCCTCCTCATCGCCTTCGCTTACAAGAGGTACAAAATGGGGGTGGAGGACTTTGCTCACAGCTACGTCGACCCCACCCCAGAGGTTTCGGCTCCCTACTCCAGCTACCCCAACATCAGCCACGACAGCTACCAGCAGCCACCCTTCACCCAGACAGCAGAAGCCCCGGAGGGTTACCAGCCCCCACCGGTGTACTGAGCCCCTGCCCGGTGGCCCGGCAGGGACGACCGTACCAGTGCAATTCTCTTCTGCGGGGTGGGAGGGGAGGGACCTGCGACTTGAAGTGGGAAGTTGGGGTGGGAGGGTGGCGGCTGCTTTGTGTGAAGGCCACGGGGCCTGGTCCCGGTGGCGGAGCTGAGCTCCTCACCGCTGGGATCCAGAGTCCGGTGTGTGGTGGGTGATTCGCAACTGCTAAGCGCAGCCCTGCAGCTCCGGGGAGGGTGGGTGCGTGGGGCCGGCCCCAGCGAGGCCGAGCGCCTGCCCTCGCTGTTGTGCCCTTGGGGAAGCGGCCGGGGGAGGAAGCAGCAGGGTGGGTGTGTGGTTTGCACCCCCCGGCCCTGGCCTGGTTGTGCCCTTGTGACTGCTGCCCTGGCCCGTCCTGGCCTTTCCAGCCCTGCCGGCTGCGGCACTTCCAGTGCCGGCTCTCACTGCCGTAGCACAGCTGGGCAGTGCAGTCCAGCTCCTGCCTGCCGCTGGCTTCCCGTGCCTTTGTCCCTCAGCTGCTGCTGGGTGAGCTTGATGCCAAAGCCCTGTCTTTTTTTGACTATAAACTCCTGTGCTGTGCCTTCTTGCAGCCTGCACTAGAGCTGCTGATGCTCGGGTGACGCGGTTTGGGATCCATGGGAGCGGTGAGTGCTGGGCTCTCTCAGCGGGGCCGTGGCTGCTCCAGATGTCCAAGGAAGGTCCTGGAGCACTTTCCCTGCTGACTCAGTACTCGGCACCCCTTGCTTGCCTCCCACTAAGCACTGCCTCCGCAGAAGCGAGGCTGCCGTCCTGTGTCCTGCCCACTGTTCCCTCGGCAGCACCCTGCTTGCAGCCCTCGCTCCCGGCTGACCGAGGGTGCCGCGCCGGCGCCTGTGCAGGCTGGCTGTCTCAGGTTGTGTTTTCTGCTGCACCTGTTGTGAAGCTGTTCCCGGCAGCAGCGTGCAGTATGCAAGCTGTCGCTGCTGGGGCTGGTGTTCAAGTAGTTCTTTCTTTGTCACTGTAGAGATGGAATAAACTTTTTCACCTCGCCATCACGTGCCTTTCTTCTCTAGGGAAGCAAAACAGGGTTCCCCCTCTCTCCCTGAGGGCTGAGGCGGCAGGGTCCAGGCAGGGAAGTGGCAGAGCAGCCCCAGCCAACTGCTGCACTGCAAACAGCACACTCATGCTAGTGCTATTTTTAGGCCTCCTCCTGCTCCTCGCAGAGTCTGTTTGCTAGGTTTGAGCAGACAGCTCCAACACCACCCCTGTGACCAGCCCAGGCTGCTGCTGAGAGCAATCAGCCCACACTGTTTGCACGCTGTTCACTGCAGGGAAGCCTTTTCAGAGCGGTCTGGCAAAAAACACACAGAGACAATTTCATTAAGTTATTTATTAACCTAAACCAGTAGCAGTGCCACCTTCCCCGTCCCTAAGGGGAAAGCCCAGGCCTGGCAATCAAGTGCTTGTGAGTACTACAACTGTCATCACTTCAAGTAATGCAGAGGGAGCAGGGGTTTTCAGACAGCTCTTGTAACCTTCTAGGGAGGTGCCTCCGCTTAGCTGGAGGGTGTAGGCAGAGAGCACCGCGGCTGGACGTGGAGATTTGACCTGGCCAGAACCAAAAGCTACTGCTTGGAGCTTGTGGGCACTGGCTTACAGGGAAAAGCACTTTTGCAAGGATTAAGGAAAAAAAAACCAAACACCAAAGCCTTTCCAGAAGCCAAGTCAAGCAAAGAGGGAAGAGGATCCTTCAGTCAACTTACAGCAGAGGAAGAAGCAGCCTTGAGAGTTTTTGAAAGGCTCAGGAGGGAGTGAGATACATGACTAGAGTCAAGAACCATCCACTCAAAGCAGAGACCTTTTTCCAAGTAGCTGGATCTGTACAGAAATAGTAGCCCAAAACTTTACAGATTAAGTCCTGAGCCTCCAAACCCTTCACAGGTAACTGAGCACTGAAGTGGCAGCACCAAGCTTGGACCTGAGCAAAACCACCCCGATTTTGGAGAGGAGGCTCTTTCTGAAGTGAAGTCCAGTTCTTCCAAGAGGACTCTGTCTTAATACACAGACTACTACTAGACTACTGCTAGCCCTTTTAAAGTTCAAAAGCTAGGAAGAGGCTACTGTCAGGCTGTCAAGTCAAGCCTTCCTTTCTCCCCTCTTCTGTTTCAACAAAAATTTTCAAGACCGTTACAGCAAGTGAGCGTAACGGCAAACGGAGAGGCCAGGCACAATCGTTCAAAGGGACTGCTGAGGGCCAGGCTGCTGCTACGTGTGTCAGTTGAAAAGTTGTGCCACAGCTCTACGACAAGGAACGGGTTATCTCCTCAGACTGTGTCAAAAAAGGAAGTGGGTTTAAAATACTAAGTTACTGTACATTGTCTTAAGAAACCTGGAATTTAGCAAGAGCGCACCAGAGATAAAGAAACAGTTGCGTTCACAGGCAAGTGAACCAGCCACCAGGGCCAGTCTGAACATAAGCAGAAGACCAGGAGAGCAGGCCAGAACTATGGCGAGCGATAGAAGCCCTGCAGCCTGGCTTGCTGTGGCAGTTTTCCAGGACCTGTTTGTGTGGCAGCATCAGTAACTACACCTGTCTTTTTTCCGTGTTCTGAGAAAGGAGCTCACTTTTAGTCAGGCTCCTGCTTCAGCTCCCCCCGGCATTAGGTCCGGTTGATCCTCCTCTTTCCTGGCGCTCGGTGCAGAGAACAGCGGCTTGGTTTGGCAGGTAGAGCTAAGACACTTAACAGTTTTGCTAAAAGCAGAGGAAGCCAGATCTGGCATCTGGGAGCTGCAGCATTTAGCTTTCTTCCTTTTGTTTTTCCCCATGCGGGAGCCCAGCAGTCAAGAAGCAAAGATCTTCCGGGAGGCAGCCACGTCCTGCTGCTTCACCCCCATGGGCACGTTCTCCTTGTTTTCCAACCCAGGCTGCTGAGGCCGCTTGCGGAAGTAGCAGGCTCGGCAGACGGAGTGGTACTTGTCTGCTCCTCCAATCACTTCAACCTGGCAAGAAAATTGGGAGAGTGACTCTGCAGAACCTGGTTCCCCTGAGGAGATCCCTCTAGACTAGCAGGACTGGCCAGGTGAAGCTACTGAAGTGCTTTTTGTTCCGAGGGAACTCACCTCCCTCTCTGCTCCCAGCCTCTTTGTGTAGGAGGCTTCTCGGTAGCACTCCATGCATACGGCGTTCAGCTTCACCACGCTCTCTGCCAGCGGCACCAGGTTCAGGATGCTCCCGAAGGCCTGTGCCAAGACAGCAGGGGCGGTTCTGTTGGATGGGTTCTACAAGGATCCCAAAGCAGCTGCTGTACTAAACAAACAGAACCTTTTACCTTTCTCTGGAAGGTCCCATCAAGAGCGGCAACAATGACGGTTTTCCCAGCATTGGCCATCATCTCGCAGAACTCCACAATGTCTGGGAACTAGAGGAGGTACAGAAACAGTGTCAGGAGGAAGAAGGGGCAGCGCTTCACTCAGGATCCAGCGGCACATGCCCAGACAGCAGCACAGGGCACAAAAAAAATTAAAGCCCTGTGGCACATCTGTGAAATATTCTCCAGGCCCACCGTCCTCAGCCTGCAGGCACTCAGGGAAGGGAAGGGTTTGACTACACAAGCATAGTCCAGCAGGATCAACCTGCCCCAGGGTTATTTCTTCCCACCCCCTGCTGCAGAGGATTCAGACTTTCTCCTGCACAGGGTGCTCTGAAGATTGCATCCTGCAGAGCTCCCCAGGACCTGCCCCAGCCATGCACTTACAAACTGGCCCTCGTCAATGCCGATGACCGCAGAGGCCAGTGCCTCCTGGTACACGTCCTTGAGGAGGCAGGCTGGCAGGGCCTCCATGGTGTTCCTGCGGGGAAGGGCGAGGCGGTGAGCCGGGCAGCCCAGCTGCTGGGCCCACGGGGGCGGCTCCTGCTGCCCCAGGCCCTCACCTGTCGTGCGTGGAGACGCCGGAGGTGCAGTAGCGCGTGTCCTTGGCGTACTTCACCAGCAGGCACTGGTACTGAGCGAGCTGGAACCGCCGCACCCGCCGCATGAGCTCCGTGCTGCAAGAGATGGCCGTCAGCGGGCCCCGGCCCGCTCCCCGCCCCGCCATCCGCCCCGGGCCTACCTCTTCCCGGAGAACATGGGTCCGAAGATCACCTGGGGGCAGAACCACGAGGGTCAGCGGGCGAGAGCGCAGCTTGGCGGGGGCACCGCGCCGGCAGACCCCGGGCGCCGGCCTGGCCATCGCCCGGCCCAGCCCCGGCACCCCCGGCGCTGGTTCGGCCCGCCGCAGCGCCGAGCCAACCGGGCCCC